GAAGTGGCTCAGCCAGTTTTAGAGGAGTGTTCTTCTCAGCTCTGCTCCATGTTATAATCCTGGTTCAAACATAGCTAGCCTGGCCTTAGCCATCCATACATTCCGCTCAATCATCCTTTCACTGCATGTAACGTCTGGATAGTCCCTGGGTTAGCGATTAAAATCGGTTGAATTTCGACCGACCTACCAGAGAGCGCTGGTTGAGTGAGTGTTGTAGTTAGTTGTGGGTGACATCAAGAGTTTGCGTCGAACGGGAAGGTTGTAGTTTGGCAATGGCGAAAAATGCGATAGTAAAGTAACCCGCTCTGGTTCTATCAAGAAATCGAAGCCGGAGCAATAGTAATGTTTAGCAAATGTAGTCGCTAGAATAAATTGTGGCGCTACTCCCCACGGGCTCCGTTAGCGGCAAAGGAGATGACTAGGCTAAATGCTAACGACTCACTCAGGCGCATTACTTACGTCACAGTAAACTCAGATCCAATCGTTTCAATCTGCAAAAGGAGTTAACCCCTCCCACCTGTAAACAGAGCTCAATGGAGCACCTCCAGACCTTACAGTAGTACGAAATGTAATTTGTACTATGGTGTGGTACGACCAGGCTAAAATATAGCCTTTATAGACACATTCAAATAAGCAACAGCTTATGGTGAGTAAAAGTCAAATCAGTCCAAAGCATTAACACTTATTCAAGAATGGCAGGTGTTAGAGTCAAATTAAGTCTATTTGCTCACAGTAGTCATAAAAATTATGTGTTCTACAGCTTTCTTCTAGACTATTGCTTGCTTGCAATTGACGTCACGTCCGCCTATTTCCATCCTTCCTGTTGTCTCTAAAATTGTGGAGAAGGTAGTTGCAGAACAACTTGTAGAACACTTGGAGTCAATCCAGCTGCTCCATCCCCTACAGTTTGGGTTTAGACAAAGATACAGTACGGAAACAGCTAACTGTTACTTGTTGGAACAGATCAAGAAAAGTCTAGATAAAGGTCAAGTGGTTGGTGCTGTGTTTTTAGACCTTAAAAAGCCGTTTGATACTGTGGATCACAGTGTTTTATTGAAAAAACTGAAGCCCTTCAAATGGTCTGATCGATCTCAATCATGGTTTAAAACGTACCTTGAGGGCAGGCAGCAATGTGTAAAGGTCAATGGTGCTAAATCCAGCCTTCGCCCTACTGACACGGGAGTACCGCAAGGTTCCGTATTAGGGCCACTGCTGTTTTCTATGTACATAAACTAGTGCCCAAACTGTTGTCATGGTGTCAACTGCCAGCTCTATGCGGACGATACAGTTATCCATGCGCCAGCAAAGACCTCTGCTCTAGCTGGGCAGCAGTTGACTGAAGCCTTAGTAAATATTTCAACTTGCCTTCAACAATTGCAATTGACTTTAAATGTCAAAAAAACTGTTTCAATTTGTTTCTCAACTAAAGCACAATCGTCAAATAATTTGTTTGAGATATTTATAGACAATGAAAAAATTGAAGAGGTGAAAGAGACCAAGTACTTAGGAATGATATTTTTACATCTCTCCTATTGCCTCACCTCATGGTCGCAAACTTCACAGACCACTCTAAAGCCAGTCATATCCCTGTACAACCAGGCAATCAAGATCTACAACAGCAAACCTTTGAGGTGGCATCATTGCGACATCATTAAAAAACACAAACTTTTGACATTTGAAGATTTTGTAAGATTTTGCACACTCAAATTGTTTTTTAAATGTTTAACTGATCATGTTCCACTGCTGTTCTCTGGTCTGGCTGTCAGACGTCAAGGCTCTTGAAGGCCAAACACCAGAGCCTCGGTCAGTGGGGACTGTCTGGTTCCTAAGTTCAGAACATCGTTGGGACAGTCCAGCTTTTCCTTCAATGGAGCCCAACTGAACGCTTTTCCCACTGACCTAAAACTACAAACAGACTTAAACATCTTCGTCAGACGTCTGAAACTGTGGCTGAAATCGGAGTAACGTTGTTCACATGATTAATGAACTGTATATTGAATTACTTTTGTATTTGTAAATTTTAAATGTGTGCATTTGTGTCTTAAAAGCCTTCTATGGACAAGTGTTGAAAATTAGCATGGTCTTGCTTTAACACTAAAGGCAGTGCATCTGGTCTGTCCAATGTAACCTTTGTGTCCATATCAAATAAATAAATAAATAAACAGACTTAATGCATGAATTATGATAGGCTTCTTCAAGATTTTTTTTCCCCACGTGTTTGAATTACTCTTGAGGCATGAAAAGATAGAAAATATTATTATTTTGAATAAACATGAAAAAATAATAATATTTTCTATCTTTTCATGCCTCAAGAGTAATTCAAACACTTGGGGAAAAAAAAAAAAAATATATATTATTATTTTGAATAAACATGAATTCAGGGGCGACAGTAGCTCAGTTGGTAGAGCATTGGCCTTAAGGCCAGAAGGTCGTGGGTTCAATTCCCACCTCTGCACCGACTCCCACTGATGACTGCTGTCGTTGTGTCCTTGGGCAAGACACTTAACCCCACTTTGCCCAAAACCCCCACTGAAAGATCAAGGCTATGCTCACACTCAGAGAGCAGCCGTCCTCCTGTGGACTCACCACCTGCAGAGGGTCAGTGAGGGGCTGGTGCAATGAGACTTGGGTGGCATCTCTGACTGCCACCCCCCTGACCCAGAAATGGATTAAAGGGTAGAAGATGGATGGATGGATGGATGGATAAACATGAATTCTCCATGGAGTTGGTGACACGTCCATGAGAGTGGACAAAGTGCATTTGAGTCACGGAATAAGTAAGTAAGTAAGAGTAAATTGTCCCTCAAATGTATATGTAATCCGGTGGACTGGGATGGCATGTGTTTTGTTTGCATGTTTTTTTGGTTTGCTGTGTGTTTTCTTTCATGCCTCCCAGTAGCCATGGTTACCCGGCACACCTGCCTGCACCTGAGTGCAAATCAAGACACCTGTGTCTGGGGTGACTGTATAAAGAGGCCATGCAGGAGATCAGAGAGGAGACGCGACACAGGGGAGCGGACGCGCAGCGAGGGGAGGCGAGCCCGGAAGGAAAGACCAGCACGCACCGGGCCAGCACCATGGCACCCACGCTCTGGACCCCCGCACCACGACGAGAACTACACAGAGGCAGGGCATTTGGACCCTGCCCTGCCGGTGAGTTTTGCTCTTGTGTAGACGTGGTGTATGGAAGCCTTGGGCTGAAAGGGGGATCCTGGGTGCTGTGCGTGGCTGGCCTGTGTGTGTGCTGTGCGACAGGGCTGGAGCTCGCCGCTGGACCCGGGCGCCCCGTAGGAGGGGAGTGAGTCGGCGCAGCGTTCGGGCCGGGAAGAGAGGCGAGGGACCGGAGGCAGCGAGCACCACCAGCGAACAAGTCAGAGGATGCAGCGGGAGAGCGGGGAGCTCTCCCTGTCCGTGAGTACCGCTCAACCGCTCTAGCTCCCGCTGCATCAAGCGGCCTCAGGCCTGGGCTTCCTGGTGGGTGTGAGCGGGAGAGCTGGCCCTCTGCCTCTCTGTTGCAGGTACGACGCCAGCCCCGATGCCGTGGGAGTGCTGCCCATCCATCTGCCGGGCGAGAGGACCAGGCCCTTTGGACCGCCATCATTTTATCTTTTTATCATTTTATCGTTTTAATTCTTGTTGAATTACTATTTTATCTATTTTATATTGTATTAAACATGATTTTAATTCATTTTAACTTCTGGTTTTATTGGAAACGCCCAGCTCTTTTAATCCATAAATTATTTTATTCGGCACCTTTTCTGGCAGTTTTTAATCTACCTTTTTAATGTCAATCCCTCAACCCCCCACTATCACATATAATCTTTGGCTTTGCAGACATGACTGCTATCTATATTTTTGTGTAGGACGGCACCATCTCCATCAGCCTCTTCATTCACCTCAAAGGCCTCAGCATCTTCTCCTTCTACATCTTAAACTGCGCTGTCACAGATGTTATAATTTGCTAATTGTCTGGTACCATTCTTCATTCTCACAAATATCACCCTCACTTGAGTCGGATGGTAATTCCTGCACTGTCCTGTAGGCTTTTCTATTCTGCTCTGGCCCTGACCGCTACAAAACACCTGGAGAAGGATAATTTTTCTCATATGCCTACTATTCACAAGATATAATGTATATCAAATAATGTAATTTAATTGCAGCCAAAATTGTATTGAAAATGAAGTTCTTCCAGAAACACTAAAGTTGCAGCAACACTATGATTTGTATTAAAAATGTAGCCAGGTAAGGCCTGCTAAACCTTACCTAGAATATTATGTGTATGAGTTTTTTTTTTACATTTGTATATTTAGCAGAACGGAGCTGTGTGTATGGCCAGACACACTAGGGTCTGATGAGCAACTGTGAAAAAAGTGCAACTGACTTTAAAACTCACACATATGGAAGAAAACAACCATTGAATAGCTGTCCACTGTAGTGACCACTATGGATGAAAGGGTAAAAAAAAAAACACTTCAAGATGTCAAGGAGGATTAAAATTCCCTAAAATGTTTGTTGACGTTATGGTCAATGGGAAATTTTTAGACTTTAGGCTGCAGTGACCTTGAGACGACCATAAGATTGCTATGATACATCCATGGATTAAACCTTGTACACTAATAACATTTTGGAAAAAATCAATATATTTATAATATATTTGGGCGACGTGGTAGGTTTGATACCCACACAAGATCTTCTCCATCTGTTCCCACTGACGTCTGCTGTTGTGTCCCTGGGCATAACACTTAACTCCACTTTGCCTGAAGCCCCTCTGAAAGACGGCTGTGTCTTTGCTGATGGAGCAGCCATCCTTCTGTGGACCTGCAGGAGGATCAGTGAGGGTGCTATGAGCATTGGGTGGCAGCTCTGATTGCCACCCCTGACACAGAAATGTATTGATAAAAGGGATATAAATGAATGAATGAATGAAAAAATGGAATTTAATTCTCAAAATGAATTGGAATGTTGAGAAGATTTAACCTAACATTATGTTGTCGTTGCAGTTTTGGGGGTGGATTTGAAACCGGCGCAGAAAAATGCTCAGCACCACACAGAGGAGCTATCCAACCAACTGCTCATAGTGAGGAGAGGACAAAGCTTTATATTGGATGTTAATTTCAACCATCCGTACAATGGTGATATGCACAGCCTCCTCTTCACCGTGACCATGGGTACGCAAAAGCACCTGGGCGGAACCTGCCTATGTCGGACTATGACTGGATTAAATCATATCAAAAACAATAACTAACACGCCCCCAAAACTAAAGTAGAGAGAGAATGGAAATAGGATAGAATCTGGAACAAAAGAGTTGGAGCTTGATAGATTACACATTTATTTAATGATAAATCAACATGATACCTTCAAAGCCTTATGACACCACACAAACATTTTGGTGTGAGACAAGTAATGAAATTAGTTCTATGGCTTGATATGCAACAGCTTCAGTTAGTAATTGATAACATGCAATTAGCCCTATGTCAAAGCGTGAACTATCTCATATCTCTATGCAAAACCAGGTGCCACAATGGTCTCTTAAAAGCACACCAGCTACAATGAAAACAAATACAAAAGAAGGAAATAGAAGTTACATTATCATGTCAAGTTCAACTCAATATTATTGTACAAAATTAGAATCTATTCTATGTGTAATATAAACATCCCAATAAAGCATCCTTTCATTTAAAGTTCAGATGGTTTAAAACATGTCATTGTATGAAATGGAAATATATAGCATTTCCTCTGTATGTATATTCAGGACAGCAGGCAAATGAGGAAAGTGGAACCAAGTGCGTGTTCGGGATACCGGACACGGTGACGCGGCCAGTCGGAGCTACATCCATCTGGAGGGCCATCGTGGACCACAAGAACTCCTATCCGGAAATGGGAAGTCTGACTCTAATCATGACCCCTCCAGCAAACGCTCCTGTCGGCAAATACTCTCTACATCTCAGCCATGCAGGAGAGGAGGATGATCTGGGCAGCTTGGTCCTACTCTTCAACCCGTGGTGCATTGGTAAGCAGTGATTAAAGAAGCAATACCCGATTTCTTTTTCTAATGAGTTCATAAAAATGCTTATTACTACATACAAGTTGTATTATAATCCGTAATTTAATTGATAACTTGAGCTCATTGATTCAGCTGTGTATGAACTCAGGCCGTATAAAATTGCTGAGTAGAGACTTTGCGGGCCGCTCATCCTGCTCCACTCACAGATCGAGGCGCTGTCCTCTAGCCTCTACAGCGCTGCTAAAAACAGTAGCATTTTAGCAGAATTGGCTATAACTCCTATTGGCTATAATGTTACCATAGTACACTTTACAAAAGCTCACAAAAACTCTTAATTAACTGTTAGTAACTGACTGAATAAATCATGCACTGCAGTATTAGTTTATAATCAAGTATACAATTATTAAACATGTGGTTTAATCATGGTGTAACAAACCATCTATATATATATATATATATATATATATATATATATATATATATAATATATATATATATATATATATATATATATATATATTAGTAACAAATAGTTACTTCATAATTATTAAATTATGAGAAAATCATAACTTGAAGATGTATTCATTATGAGTAAAGCATTTATTAACTGTAGTAATTCAGTAGTTATTAAGTGTTGGTCACACTTAAAGCTGCACTAACTGACTTTATTTTTGTATTCATTACAAAAATGCTATCCATGTCCATGCAGTACATTGGGATACGTCCTTTTGAAGAAAAAGTAGCGCTGGTGTGACATTGTATTTTAAATAGAGTTTTGATGAAACAAGGTAAGTAGTAGTAAGTAATCTTTATTTATATACCACCGTTTCACTGCAGATCTGAGTCTCAAAGCGGTTTACAATTGTTAATTATGGGCACTTGTCCTCTCACTCCACACAGAGATGGGAGCGGGGTCGCCAGTACAGGAGCCGCATGCCAGAACTATTGGACATATTTTTAGTGGTAGGGGAAACCGGAGTACCCGGAGGAAACCTACGCAGACACGGGGAGAACATGCAAACTCCACTCAGAAAGGCCCTGGTCCGGCCAGGATTCGAACCCAGGACCTTCTTGCTGAGAGGCGAGAGTGCTATCCACTCAGCCACCGTGCCGCCCAAGTGGAGGAAGAGAAGGATCCACTCAGATTGCGACCAATCCCAGAGCACCACTAGCCCCCACTTTCTTGAGAAATCTACAGGTCCCTCTTAGCACAGACAGCTGAGTTAGCACAACAAGCGGCGGAGCTAACCTGAAGCTTCCGTGTCTCCGTCACCGGTTACTGCTTACACAGCGAAACATCCATCCAAAAGAAAGTCCCGTTCCTCCGCGCTTCCCGGTTGTATCGTTCTATGGTTGCCATCCACGTGCAAATCCATATCCATGGATCTATTTATATTGGGAGACGCTAGCTCCATAAACAACAGTAGGTGTGCGGTATTGGGGGGAGATGGCTTCGCGGGTGCGGGGAGGGGAGGAGAAAGAGCAAGGCCAGCGAGCCCGCTGCTTCGAAATCCCAAAGTCAGTTTGGTGCAGCTTTAATTAATGCATTGATCATGATTAAATAAGTGTTATTTAAACAATTATTAAGCCTAAATAAGGTGTAGCTATTATAAAGTGTTACCCAAATCTCTTGGTGAGCCGTATAATTGACACCCCTGGTTTAGACGATGTGGAGCAATTTTGAGGCAAATTGGTGAAACGGCTGAGGAGGAGATGATTTCCAACCAACATGTGTGAAAAAGATCATGTTTCCTTCTTGCGTTTTCCAATTACATTTATGGGCTCCCTGTTGGTCAGGGGGCGTTGCTATAATAACTTTTTTCCCCATGTCTTGAGTTGAGGAACATGTGCACCAAATTTTGTGGCTCTACGACAAACTTTACCTCGGACCCTCTTCCATTGGCGCAATGTAAACTGACTTTTGTAGGGTGCGCTGTTCTGGCATAGAAATAAACACCAAAAAAGTATTTTTTTGCTAAAAACATAATGGAATGAACTTGGGCTATCATAATTCTTTTTATTGTGTTGCTGTTTATTTATTACCTACAAGTCTCTTGGAAAAAAAGTATGCGGAAAACCACCCAACCTGGCAACCCTGCTGCGTAGTGTTGTGAACAGGGACGCTTAAACTAGTACTTAAACCACACTTTACACAAACATTTGACCCTTAAAACACACATAACATGGAACCATTAACATTTTGCCTCATAGTGCATTAAAAGTGACATCCGCGTCTTAATTAGTTCGTATTCAAACTTTTTTTAAATTCACGGACTTTATGTCCGCCATCTTGGATTGCTTTCACTGCCGCATGAGACCAACCCCCGGTGATCCAAGATGGCGCCCTATTCAAATGAATGGCTTGTGCTCAGTAGCGCATGGGACTTCACGTCTGGTCCTCCCAGTTCTGCGCAGTGGATGAGCTCCCATGATGCTTTTGCGCCTAATACTCATGTGTGGCTCTCATGCACGTGAATGGCTTGTGCTCAGTAGCGCATGGGACTTCACGGGCGCTGACATATCAGCGTAACTTGGCTCTCATGCACGTGCAGAGAGGGGTGTTAGGATTTAGCAGACAGAGACGGATCGTGGTGTGCCAAACTCTGGAAGTTTATTTAAGTTTCTCTCAAGTTCCACTGGTTTACTCTGTTTCTTTCTCTCAGACAGAATAAAGGCAGTACACAGTTTATATAGTCATTGTCACGTCACACATCGAAAGACATACGTGTCACAAAGAGACAGTCAAATCATAGTCATAACATGGAGTCCTTGTAGAGTCCTTGTACAGTCCTGCACGTAGGCCATATTGCTATCTAATACTAATACCCTCCCCTTTGATCACATAATCACATGTGATCACTCAATTGGATCAATCAATAAAATGGAAAAAGAAAAAAAAAAAAAAAAAATCCAAAAAAAAAAACTTTACAAAATTATTAAAACTCATAATCATCAAATCAATATCAGTGGATTTTATCCTCTATCCTGGGAAAAAACAAAACAAACAAAAATAAATCAAAAATAAAAACAAACAAAAATAAAAAAACAAACAAAAACTATTGGACACAGTAGAACTCAGCAGATTCAGTCAAAACACAGACAAAAACGAGCTGAGTCTCAAATTTGAAGCTAATTTCACTTTTATTACTCTATACTTTTATTCTAATGCTAATTGTTTACACTACACTTCACTTATTTCACTGTATTATTTTCACTTTTTAATCTTAGACTGTGTACTTTACTCTCTATTCACTATAGTTTAAAACTATTCTAATCTATTTACAAATATGTTTGTATATTTGCTTCTATTGATCCATATTCTTAAACATACATTTTAATCTAATAAATCTCTCTTTAGTTTACTTTCATTATCAGTGGCTTATTGTCAGTGGGATTTTGCTCCATGTCTACTCTCATTCTCAGGAATAAAACTGTGAACACAGTAAGGCAAATGGTCAACATTTACACTTCTATAGTGGTCAGTGATTTATTACTTTTTATTATCTAAAGATATTATTGTCAGGCATTTGGGATGGATGTACATCATTAATCAAATTAGTATTATCCTTACAAGAGCTAATCTATTTTAGCAGGTTTGGGGTTGGGGTCAGTTATTCTACAATGGTGTTTGTGCTGGAAACTTCTCAATATCTAAATATCTACTATTGTGTTTTTGTGCTATACACAAATACATCAAAATGCTTTTAAATGCTTTTGAATCTCTGTTGGTGCTAATCTATCTCATTAATCTAGGCTACACTCATATGGACTTTTGCATAGTCAACATTCACTCATGTTTGAACACAAGTGAATTTGGAAGGTATCTAATAAAACTGTACATACAACTGTAATTAACTTTATCTACTTTTGAAGTAAATGTTTGTGAAATGGTCCCTTTACCATTTGATATTAGCACTGGCTACAAATAATCTCTATTTTTGAAAGCATCTATGGTTGATGCATTTATCTATTCCTATTTTTACTCTATTTTTTAACTCAAAAGCTCGGCTGCAGCTTGAGCAAAGGCATATTTCTAATTTGTGACTTCTGTCACTTTTAATGGCTGTAACATAACTCTGATTCTAATATTTTAGCTGATCTATCAAAAGGATAACATTGTAGGGTACTATTTTAACTCTTATGTGGAAATGTGTTTATGAAAAACAAAGGAAGTCAAATTCTACTCTTTTACTACTATTTAACATCTACTAAAACGCTACAATACTTATACTTTATCATTTTCAAAGTTTTTGTCTGTCAGATGTCTGAATACTTAACATGTATATTGCATTTGGTCACAGGTTCTGGTTGTAGCAATAGCATCCGCAATAGACGTTTTCATTGGCTGGTTCTTGTTCTGCAAATGGCTGTGTCCAATAGATCATCAGATGTCCAGAAGCTAGGGACAAACAAAAACAAAAGAAAGAATCATGAGTATCTCTCTCATTTAGCACTCATCAATGTATGATTTCAAAAATATAAACATCACTCCCCAGTTTTCTCTCTCAGGTCCTCAGGTCCTCAGATCCTCAGATCCTCAGGGTCCTCAGGTCCTCAGATTGAGTCTCAGTCGTCATCAGGTCAGGTCATCTTGGACATCAGTAGGGTCCAAGCCATGGTTCTGGTCTCTCCAGTTGGACATCAGATCTCCAGATACAGTCTTTTCACTTGAAGCACATCAGGTCACTTGCGATGCACTTCTGGTCAATGGTGCAGTCTCACAGTTCCTGTACACAGCTTGTTATGCAATAGTTACTTTCTATGGTTAAGTCACTTTGATTCTACTTTAACACAATTTCTATTCATGCTGTTGCTAATGTCTCTCAGACAAAAACAAGCGCAATGATTCAGTTTACTTCTCTAATTTGTGTTTTTCTCAGACCTAATTCTAATCAATGTAATTACTTCACACAGTACAAAATCAACAAATCAAAAGTGTCAGGACAGACGTCAATTAATCCATGACAATATAGAATTCAAATGAACATTTCTGGTCTCAAAAAATACTGATTCAACT